AGGTTGTGTGACAGATCAGAATTTTAGAATTTTACATAGACAAGTTTTTCTTATAATCGATAGTCGGACGAAAACTTTTCATTTTTAATTGGCTGCATTTGGTGACTTATTTAATATGTTTATGTATGATTTTGATTAGGCCTGCAATTTTTTTTAATTTCTCTCCAATATATTTCAATATTACCCCCGCAGAAAACAGATACCAATTGAAAATGTGCCCAAATAGATATTAAATAATATTGTAGATTGTCTGGCCTTCACCTTTCTCTTTGTAAAAACATTTTGAGTTGTTCATTCCAATCTCGAGTCAGTCGGTCGGTTGCAAAGGTAAAGAGTTTTTTAAAGTAGACCATGCGGAACTTTTGTGCATACACGAGTTGTAGATGTGTGTTCCTTAAAGCAAGAACTCTAGTAGATGACGAAAGGCGTGTCATTAGAAAATTCAATATAGCCGGCCGAGATCCAGCAAAATGTCAGTGTTTTTAAACTTTTTTAAAGCATGCGTTGTATAGCTGGCTAGCTATCAAACCTTTTCATTCTTTCTATAAGCCTCTAGAAAAAAACATCTGCTCAAAGGCGAAAAAAAAAAAATTATTTTAAAATCTGAAGTTCAAAGTTTCAAGCTCTAGTCATTCATTATTATTCAATTGAAAACTCTGATTTGTCAAAATGAGCTTTACCAATGAAGATGGCGAAGCGGAAGACAAGAAGTTAGTTGAGGAAGAGGACAAACCTCTGCCTTCATGGGTTGAGTGGTGCGAGCGCAATGCTCAACCCATAAAGCGGTGCATACCGAGAGAGCAGCGCGAACTGACGCGTTGGCAGAAGGCGGGACCTATGAAAAAAAAGGAGTGGAAAAAATTCTTTGAGTGGGCTTTGCAAAATGCAATGCCAAAGGAACCTCCGCAGGTCGAAGTGCCTATTCCTTGCCTGGAAAAATACTTGCCCTGTGGCCGTGAAAAACGCAAAATGGATATGGACTCTTTGGAAGAGAGCATGGAGAAGTTGTCCAAGCCACTTGAGCGTAAAATGACTCCAAAGCACGTGTACCAGCCTCGATTCTACGCCTATTCCCCGGTCATTGTATGGGGCAAGCCTCCACACCATGACAAAGGTCGACCATTTCGCCCACCCTTCGTACCCTGTTGTTTTCCCAATGATGATATAGAGGACGAATTCTGGGCCAATTTGCGTTTTCCAGTGCGGCCGTCCGCGCTCAAGGCGCGCCCCACGGCTCGTATCCTTAGTTTGGCCAAGCCGCACATAATGCCGCCAAATCCGCCTCATTGTCCCATTCCAAAAAAGGCGCCGGCTCCACTGGAAGTGCCGCCACCGAAGCGAAAGAAGTTCACACCACGTGGCTGGCGCTTACACCAAATACGCTTGATCTACCTCTCCAAGCCCGTGTCCAGACCAGAGTTCGAATATTTCTATATGTGAATATGTGAATCAATATGACCCTTTTTCGGTACTAAAAATTCACTGTATGTAGTTTTAGGCTTGTATTAAAAAATGTATTTAACCAACCTCAACGTTTTAAATTATCTTGAATTACGAATACAATTTGCAATCTTCAAATGCAGTAAACTGACTAAGCAAAGTCGCTAAAAAATTAACAATTTCACACTGATAAAAATTGCAATTTGTATTCTTAACGGCTTAAACAGTAGCCACTGCCACAGCCGGAGCCACACTCGCAGTCGCATTCACAGTCGCAGTAGAAGTCACATAAGTAATCCAAGCGCCCAAATCTGCCCAAGCCCAAGATGCACTTAGTCATGGCAGGCGCATTAGAGTCTCACAGTCAAAGGTGAGCTGCCGCTGAGAACGGCATTGTGCTTCAATAGCCTTCGCTCCTCCGCCTACTCCTGCTCTTCCTTCGTTACCTTCTGCGCCGACTGGCTGCCAGCTCCAAATTGCTGTTTATCAAGCGTAACAAACATGCGTCACATTGACTTTAGCTGGCCGGGCTAGGATCAAGGTTCACAAATGATCATCAGTCAAATCAATTAGATAATTGAATGAATGATTTGTAAAATCCGATTATATGCGCTCTTCCTTACACACAGAGTACCTTATAAAAATAAATGATTGTGAGTGTGTGTGTGTGTATAGCTGTGTGTTTGCATAAGTCCGAATATCTTGTCTTGCCTTCTGCCCGCTCTTTCGTGCTGAGCGTGCATTATGTACAGACTCTCAGAACAGCTAAACACAATTGCATAACACGAAACTTTAACTTTATAAGAAACACAAATAAATAACTGCAACTAAAAATCGATTGCAGAGAAAATATATAAAACGTAACATTTACCAAAAAAACATTGTTTTCTACATGATAAAGTAATCCGATGTTAAATAGAATTTTGCTCATATCACTAACCATGTTTCTTGGTTAGTGCTCATATGCTGGAAGTAGGAGTAGAAATGCTGGGCTTACTTAAGATATAAGATAACCAATATTGAGCTGAGCCAGCCTGCAACAGAAAGAAATACCTAAAGTACAGCTGAGGAACCAGTGCAACTCAACTAACCAACCAACGGGCCAGAGTACTTCATTTTCCATTTTTCTTAAAATTTTCCCGCGCCAGGGTGATAACTGGTCGAGTGAAATATGGTAAAAAGCGAAACTTTAGACAATTTTGTGTTTTCACCGCAATGCCACGTCGCCAAACGACAGTTGACCGAAATACATGGCTAAAGCAGCAGCAACAGCTACAGCAATCAAAATAACGAATTGCCCAAATAATATAACAAATTCATGGCTTGTGTTTGGTAAAGGATTGCCTTGGATTGAATATTATTGATAAAACTTATGCCACAGACAGGCAGATAGACAGGCAGGCAGGCATGCGATTCAATAATTTGGCACTCATTCTTGATTTTTGGCGCAGGTGTAACAACAATCGAAGCGATAGGCTGGCATCGAGTTCTAGAGTCTCTTATTAAAAATTTCCCAAGTTGGCTGCCAAAGTTGTAGACAATTCCACAAAGGGGCCAAGCAACTGATGGTACCAACTGTTGTTGTCTGCATCCTATGATGATGATGATGATGGCGATGATAATGATGATGAGGATGGTTATGATGATCACTCGACTGACGAGACTATGTCGATCATGACTGGGCCAACCAGAGACGACGATGATGGCGAAGTTGATTGGGGATTGTGAAATGTGATGATGTTGCTGCACTTGTGGTGCATACCAAAATAGCTAGCGCCAGGCAATGTCGCCATTGCGACAGCAACAGCAACAACAACAACAACAACAACAACATGAGTAACAACAACAGAATCAACAAGCACATTGTTGCCATCGGTAGTTGTTGCTGAGAGTTGCCTACTAAAGCCCGTCTCTGGGATTCTTTGTTGACTTTGTTTTATTTATTCAATTTACAGTTAACTTAAGTTAAGCAAAGTAAAAGGGAGATATACCAAAAAACATGAAAACCAAACAAATAAAAATTGTCTCCCATACGTACCTATGTACATGATGTACACTCAACCTCTTTTAGCTGGAATAGACAAATAATATATGCACACATTCACATTTGGATTCACATTCACATTCGTATTCGTATTCGCATTCGCATTCGAATTGCTTGTCCTGTTGTTCTTGAACCCTGTGAGATACCAAAATGTTTCGACTGGTTCTTTGGCTCGAATACGCGATTGCACCCTGGCTAAAAAATGTATCAGGTTAATACGAATATGGGCATGACACACATTACGTGTAGGCAGCTGCCACATCTCTGGCGACATCTGAGTGGGTGATATGGGAGGAGAAAGTGATGAACAAATGTCAAGCCATATAACACGAATCAGGGATAATTGAATTTTGAAGTAAGCCGCAAAGAGCGGCAGAAAAAAGCTATAATCTCATTAAACGGCTTACATCTGGAGCATTTGTCTACTATATATGTTCAATTGTACTACATTCGTTTGCTATTTACTTGGGTGATTATTGATCTTTATGAGAAATTATATTTTGTGCGGTCCGGCCTGGTCCGACATATGTATTGCCTGCAACAGAAAGACATAACTTTGCATAAAAGCAGGCAGGCGGACATGGTTATATCAACGCCGCTGTTAATATTGATCAAAAAATATATATATTATCGGCCCGAACATGTCTCCTGCATTAGCCTTCAGCGGTTAAACAATAAGTTACTTCCAAATTTATTCAAGGAAATGCTATACGAGAACACATATACTAGGTTTGGTGTATCTACAGTTTATAGTCTTTGAGTTATGTTAAAAAAAAACGAAAATTATCGATATGCAAAGAGGAGAGAATATATAAAAACTCACACATGGCTAGATCGGCCCAGCTTCTCGTCCTGCTTAAATAATATTTGCCTTTAAACTCATGTATGTTTTGACCCATAAAAATTATATAAATACAGCCCTTTTATTGCATAGCAACGTTTTGTTTTAGAATAATTTGATTTTATTAAATTGTAGAAAATATTTGATTAGGGCAAAACACAGAAGTAATTGTGGATATCTATGTAAACGTGCTGTACGCATGCAAAAAAAATTGGATATCATTTTTCCATTAAAAAGTCTCTACCTAGGAATTAGTCCCAATCCGGATATGAAAATAAGATATAAACGAACTTATGCTAAATCTTTAATTTCATTATACTTATAACCAGCTTTGATATTAAAAGTCTGATAGTGTTGTATGGCCAAAAAGTAGTACTTACAAAAGTAACAACTGTTTTTCTAAATAGACACTTCCAGTTAGGGAGGACAATTTACTGGCGCCGAAATGCATTTTTGGAGCATAAATTTAGATGTGCTGTTAAATTGTAACAAAATGACGGCATTAAGTTATACGTTTCTTTTCTCTCTCCCTTTTTATGTGTTTTACTGGTGGTTGCTTTGTGCCAGCTGTTTAACCGGAACCGCAAAAGATATATATATAGTAAACCAACAAAAAACAAAAAAGAAAAAAAAATTACCCCAATTAATCAATAAAACCCATAATTCTTTTTGCAGACTTCCTGGGCGATTTTGGCAGCATGTCGATGCGGCGGCGGCACCACCCGCGTGGCACTAAACGCGGCCGACCACGTGGCAGCACAAGACGCGGCGGTGGCCATGGATCGCTGCAGCGCGTGCCGACGCCGACATCGCCAGCGGTTGGAGCGTTGATGGCAACTGCAACGACCACATCGCCGTTACCACAGCAGGAAGCAGGCGGCGGCGAGGCTGCAAGTGGCCTGCCCCTGCCAGCGCACGAGGAAGGTAAGTGCAGCCAGCGGTTTTTTATTGATCAGCTTCCTGGTACCCTACCCTGTTTATATGGACTTGAGTGTCACTTGTCGCTAATCGCCGACATAATCACGTTTATCGCTGCCTCTTTACATGCATATCTGCTTACTTATGTTAGTGTGTCTGTGTGTGTGTGTGTGTGAGTATGCTGCAGCTCTCTTAACAATTGGGCACACTTGAGTGGCGCTTTGTGGTCCCTGCCCCTTTTGGCTGCCCGCATTTTTCGAGGATGGAAATTTCACTTGTAGTACGTGACAATTTTGGCGCAGCACAAACCATTTTCATTATATCTTTATCCGATTCAATGGCATTTCCTGCTCCCCTTTTACTTAAATATTGCGTTCTCGCCCCATTCACGCAGTCAGGCCAAATATTTGTTCAAAGATTTGCATCTGGCTGCCTTATCGCTGATGTACAAACAGAAACAGCCCCAGGCGCAATCGATACTGTGACTACTCAGCATGTCGAGTACTTCCTAAGTGCCTGCAGTTGCTCTCGAGTAGTTTGGGGTTCCGGAATTTATACGGTGTACATTGCTAGCTTCATTAAATGATTAATGTAAATATTTTTAACATATTTTTTATTTCTCAGAATTTGTACTACAAATCTTTACAATTCTAGCACCTTCGTAAAGCTGTTATTGAGCTGTTTGTACGATTTTCAAATGGATTTAAAGTGTGTTCTACGCTTGTCTTCTATCTCTATGTATCAAACTGTTTGTCCTGACTGTAGTTATTTTATGCGATGAAGGTGCACGTAAAGACGGGTTTTCGTTGAATTCCACCCGTATGTGTGGAAAAATCGCAAAGAGCGTTTGAATGAAACTTTTTTGTTTACCATCCGATCGGCCTCAAGCCCATTTCCAAAGATTTTTGTTTAAATTTGTTTGAGGGTTCTTCAAACTTTTTAAAAAATATTTTCCTCCTTGGTGGAAATGGGGGTCAACGATTTGGTGGGTGACGTTTCGTTTTCAAATTCATTTCCACGGATCTATAAAACCATTTAAGAATCGTTTCACCTTTTTGGCCAAATCACACCTTCACTGGTGTGCTCTATATAAGAAATTTTAAAGCTCTACATAAGAATATAACGTCTGATCCGTTTCCAACTCGATTTCAAAGATCTTTGAGAAAGTATATTTTATACGTGTCACTGGCAAGGCTGATGTGCTCCCCGTTTATATTCCTAGTTTATATATAAATCTTAAAAACGTTACGCAAACAGTTTTTCAAGACTTCTGCACAGATATACGCCCATATTCAATGCTAATATTTTAGAAAGCAATTCAATTAGCTACATTTTAATCCTTGAGCTTCTTTACCGGGCACGTTTGATTTGTTGTGCAGACTCGAATTGATTTCTGCTCATTTACAGAGATGCTCATCGTTATTAACAGCAATTAGCAGCGGGCGGCTTACACATTTTGCAAACAGCTGTTCAGATTTAAAGCCTGAAATTAATGCAACCAGCAGTCGATTTTAGTAGAAAATTGTAAAGAATTTCGCAGCTTCAATGCCAATTTTCAGTTGAAACACGTTGGCGCACATGCCAAATTTGCACAACAAATGTTAATTGCATAAATCGGCTTAAACGCTCAGACACAGACCAAAATGCTGCTGGTGTATTACGTGTATGTGTGCGCATGTGTGTGTGCTCGTGTGTGTACAGGGGTATGAGGACAATGTGAATGCTGTGGGCAGCACCAGACAACACGTACAGTTATTAACTCTCTTTCCTCCAAACGGAGACATAATCGCAAAAGGAAATACAACAAAAGCAAGCGAATTGATCGACTATGAGATATCATACACTGACTACCAAATCCTAGAATATATTGATATTGACAGATTATAGATTCGCAGAGTAGAGATAAAGATTGGGAAGAGCGAAGTTTTTTGTATTTCTATATACAAACTGGAAAATTTCATAAAATGTTTATTAAATGAATACGCCAGCGTAGTACACGCCTCTTGCAGCTAAATGTTAGGGTATTTAAACGCAAAGTTGCATAAATGCGACTTAACCACGATGGATTGCGCTCTGTGCAGGACATTGTTGCCGGGCTGGGCTCGGCCGTGTGCCGGCAATTAAAATAACCACAATCGATGCGCCCCAAAGTATGCAACATTGTAAGCAAACTGAAAAATGCGGATCTGGCAGGACTCGCTGAAAACGTGCTGGCTCAAGCGGCAGAGGCATTAGTGACAATGTTGCCATTCCTTCCTCAAGGCAATTTGCATTCGCATTTGAATGGAGAGCGCTTCGTAGCATGTCCAACAGTAACACGCATTTACATTAATTAAGATTATTCAAATCGGAACTCTGCAAGACTGCGATGTCCACTCACCAAAAGTATCTTTTGCAGAAACAAATCCCGCTCCCAGCGGTCTCGTCAGCACAATGGGCACACCGAGCGCTTCCATGGCCAAGCGCGGACCAGGACGTCCCCGCTCCAAGACAGCGACGCCTGTTAGTCGTGGATCACGCGGCGCACCACGGGCACGCCGGCCAATGGGGCCGCTGCTTGTGCCGCTTGGGCGCAGTCCAGATGCCACACCCCCAGGAAGCAGTCCGGCCACAAGTCGTGCGCCCAGTCCGACAACGCATGGAGAACGCGGCGCTGGAACACTCGATTAACTTTAACAATTCCATTGCAAGCTAATAAAAAAGGAGCAAAGCCCTTATGTGATGATGCAGTTGGTGTCAATAGCATTTACTGGCCACAGCTTATACTGAAAAGTGTTAACTCATGACAAATCTAATAAAATTAATCACTTTAAAGTAATAATAATAATAAGCGCACAAAATAATACATTGGCTGCGATAACATTTGAAAATTATTGATTCTCAAAATATTGAATACTCTTTAAAGGGTTACAACAATAGAGAACGGGTTAATTGAAACCAGAAAATGACTTTGAAACTTCGCGTGCAACTTGTATTCTTCTATTCTTATACTCTGAACTTATAAAATATGCTTGATACGCATCTATATCCGAGTCGATCAAGCCATTTATTCTCAAGGAATACAATAATCGAAATGTTTCAATTTGACATATAGATTTTCTTATTGAACAATTCAATTCCTTCGTTTCCCTAAGTTTTATATGACTTTTCATTTCCTTTTCGTTTAGTATACCCAGATCCAAAATTTTGAATTTTTTCAATAACTTGCTTCGTCCCCTAAAATGAGTCATTTACTAAGATATGAAATATGACGCCAATCTCATTTTCTTCTTTTATATCAACAACCGAACTAATATTATCGATCTGTAAAACAAACACCAAAAAACGTTTTTCACCTAGAAAGTGGTAGCTAGGCTGATGCTTTCTCTCTTCCGCATCAGCGCGCGGTTTTTACGCCCTGACAAGGACATCAATTGAATAAAAAACAATTGAAGGACAGCTGGCGCACAACTTATACAAAGTTTGCTTTCGCAGAGGCAATGGGCTGAGTGAGCAGCATTATATCCATTAAGAGCCATGCGCCAATGGTGACTTTGTCTTGTCTAAGATAAATTGAATTAGAGACGCCGAACGCGCACATTCATCATCGCCAGAGGTAGGAACGCGGCCGGCAGAATGTGATAGATAGTTGTAGCTTATGGGCTGCATAAAAAAGGCCGGAGTAGGTACCCGCGCAGACAAATAGTAGGAGTAGACATTTTAATTTTCGAAAAATAGCTGCTACGAAAATAGACTAAGACTCTAGACTGCCAGATGAATGGCTGGCGCAGGCGGCTCCTCGAGGGTACTGCCTGCGTCTTTGGCTTTGGGCTTAAGTGCCAAGACGATGATGATAGTCCCCCGACATTGTTGAAGCGCATGCGCGCGTGAATTCCGACCCGTCCAGGGGTAGGGGTTGGCTGAATTAGAGCATGCGGCGTTTTTTAGAAAAAGGAAAGGGATGAGAAAAAAAGATGCTGCATGCCGACGCACACACCTTCGAGATTGGTATTGGCATTGCCCTAAAGCAGTATGCTGGCTGTCTTGTCTCCTGTTCTTTGTGGCCATGTGTGTAGGCAGCGGAAAGGATTTGATCCTGAAAACAATTAAGAAGGAGTATGCACGCACTTGGATTTCGGTTGCCCGTTCTTGCTCTATAGCTGTAAAGAAAAATTTAATCCTTTTGCTTATTTTTTCAAGGTGTGGCCACGCAATGTGTGCGCGCGGGGCGTATTCTCGTTATTGTCTTGATTTATCGACCGAGCATCTTTGCCTTAAATTAAGGTAGCAGCTTCCAGCTGATGGCAAGCAACAAAAAAAAAAAGGATTTAAGTCCGCATTTTGTGGCTTATTAGTTGCGCCGGATTAAATCACAAGAATGGTTGCGTCCATATGAACGGAAGCAGCTGCCTTTATAAGCAGTATTAGCTGAACAGAAGGAGTTGCGGACTTAGGATGAGCAGGCGGCAGGCCAAAATGTTTACCCTAACTGTAATGTTGGTAACCCAAGCTCTAGAGTTTTCCTTTTCCATGCTGGAGAAATAAATGTTGGCATTTGATAATAAACATTTCAATGGTAAATTAGCGACCAACAACGGCCACACCCTCGCCGCTGGCCGGACATAAGTCCAAACAAGCTAACAGGAGTTACAACTGTCGCCAATGAGACGAACCTGTTGCCGGCCTTTTAAAAAATTTATTTTTCCTGGTTGTTTACAACAGTCGAGATGATTGAAACGCTGTTTGTGATTTTTAATTGAAAAAAAAACATACACTAGTGTGCGTTCCTCTTAGTCTGTGTGTCAGTTAAATCTCAGATTTTGCGTGTGTTTGTGTGTGTGTGTGTCGGGATCGGGCTGGCTGCTAATTAATAAACGCACTGCCGGTAGGGAGGAAACCGGTGAACGACAACTGCAACTCCAACTCCAACTGAGGCTGAGGCCGTAGCTGAGGCCGAGGCCGTGGCCGCCCGACGCCGTCGCAGATGCCACTTGGCATAAATGCACACTTTTAAAATTGTTGAGATTCTCCAACTGTAGCTAAAACGTGCAGCTTTATGACAGTCGGACTCACAGTGTCTGCCGTCTTTGGAATAGTCGCCAACTGGACGGCAGAAAAAGTTGCACAAACCACTTGCAGTCGGCATCAGAATATTAAGAATTGTCATATTGAAAAGTCCAAGATGCCAACATTCAATGCCAAGAGTTGCATTGCGCTACATCGCGTACATCTGTTGACAGCAACAACAATTTACAGGGAATACAATTCTATTCCTGATTAGCTAACAAAAATTATATTAGAGCATGGTAGCATATGTCCCACATAGGACTCTGTATTTAAAGATATAGCCTTTCCCTTTTGGGCTTTTTATGAAATTTTAAATTAATATTGTAGCCCAAAGTAATACAAATACTAAAATGTAAATAAGATATAGGTTTCTAGCAGCACAAATAACTCTCTTTTCTCTTTTCCAGATATATTTGTAGCAATATAAGTTGCACCATAAAGTGAATGTAGCCAGTGCTAGGATAGGGCAGAGCACACAAATGTTGCATAACAAGTCTGCGGTTTTCTTTTATTTGTGAGTTATTGTCTGTGACAGGAGCATGTCCTGTTTATATTATTAGGTTTGCTGCCCATTATTTAACCGCTTAAAATTATTATTCCATAAGTTATAAAATGTGTGACTTGTCTGCATGTCCGAATCTCAAGAATTTTTTGGCTGTCTAAACATGTTATAAAAATCATGCGCTGTAACTAATTTGAGTTTCACTTCTGAGAGTTTTCAGCGTGCAGGCCGAGTTATAGCTACTGTTGTTCTTCTTCTTAATTTGATTACAGGCTTTATTTTGTTATGTGCCCTCTCTTCTGGTGCTTGATTGCTGCGCTAATTTAATGTCATGCACACTTAATGGATGCGCTTCTTGAACTCAACGCGCAGCGGGTGTTGATTACAACAAACAACATTATGTTTATGCTGGCTACGAGCAATAACAAATTTTATTTTATTATACCGCACATTTGTTTGTGTTGTACAATTATTTTGCCAAACGATGCGTGAATGCGTCAAATGCGCCGTTGCGTGGCTCAGGCGCAGGCATTTTGTTAGCTCACGGTTAATACAAATGACTTAGGCGACGAACTTGCCCACACTAAGTTTCGTGTGACCTAGGAAGTGCTTTAACAGTTTTACAAGTTTATTAATTTATGCCCTATAATAATTCTAAGGCTAGTATATCAAATAGATATAAAATCTAATTAGGAACTCAAGTGGCATTTTCCATTTTTGAAATTATTTAAAACTGTAGACGCATTTTGATATTTTCCCTATTTATTTTTGCTTTAGAGTTTGTTCTTTGAAAATTTCGAAATATAATTGCATTTATTCCCATAGGCAGTTGAGAGCCGAACGGTGTAGTAACTTGTTAACTTAATTGACTTCAGTTTTTATTAAAACTAATTCAATAATGAAAACATATCAATAAACACACGCCGCGGCCGTCGGTGACGGCAAGTGACGGCTTTCAAAAATACTCGACTTGTACAAGCGGCTCGAAAAGATGCCTCGGCCAAGCAATTGTGCAAAAAGCGCAGCATGTAGCTGACAGGAGCAGGAACAAAAAGTTAAAGCAAAAATAATTAAAAAATTTAATTGATGTATTAAAGCAGGCAACAAGTTTTCAAGTCGCTTGCTGCCTGCCTGGCTGCAGCTTTGTTTTTTTGCTTTTCATTTTCTTTTTTCTGTTTTACCCAGCCTGTTGGCGCCCGTACAAATTATAAGAAACGGGCTACAAAACAAAAAAAACCAACTGAAAACTGAAGTGACTTGAGTCGAGCTTCAGCCGGTCCACAACACAACACTATTTTTAACTAGCTGACAGGACCTGGCCCCAAGTATCGTTAACCAAGTTAAAGACCTCATTATAAGGCCGCCAGCGGAGTGGGGTGGCTTTTACATACAACGCGAGCCCTTCAAATATTTACATTAAAATAGTTTGCGTTGACTGGGTAATGTAATTTTGATTTTGATGATAGATGGCGGCATTCATTCAAGTCTGACAGATAAATGCACATTTTTTACTTATTGATTCAGGTTATGGCAAACTTGTATGCCATTGCATTCATATATGGCTAAAACAAATGACTTAGGCAGCGAACTTGCAAATTTACTTTGCATGTGATCAATAAAAAATAATGAAAACACTAACAATTAACTCAAGTCACAGAGATTTTTCACATCAACCTATTCAGAAATTCATTCTTAGAGACTAAGTAAGACATGTATTATTATCTTAATATGTCTTCCGGCAAAGACTTCTTCTTCTTTTTGATTTATATTTAATACAAAAAGTCAAAGTCATGTGCCGAAAATTAAAAACAATTGAACTGATACATAATATACAAATGCAATGAATGGATTTAGGACAGATGTGATGAATGGGCTTAGCACAGATGTGGCTTATATATTTTGTATTCCGCAAACGATGAATGACAAGAAATTTATAGTAAGGCAGAGAGACGGACTTGGTTATTTCATAAATAGTATATATCCTTTATAACATGAGAACCATATCTATACGAAACCAATTGCGGTTAACACATTTATGTAACTAGGTAACTGCCTGTCAAGAAGGTGCTCGTTTGTTGCTTACGCCAGCTTTTTTATCCTTTTGAAGCCATTTATTCGAGCGTATATTCAGTGTGATGCCGAGTTAACTTTTTAATTGTACGTCCCTTGCCTGCTACCAGGCAGCTTGAATGGGTATTCACCAAAAAAGTAAACAATTACTCAATTTAACTGCACCCCAGTGCAACGC